CTTTTACCTCTGCTCTATATTTCCCAATGCGGCACCTCAGAAGACAGGCCTGGTGATCTGTTTCCAAAAGGTCACAACCTTGAAAACCCTCTGGAGCAGTGCTACTCTGCACGCAGCCATGTTCGTTGGGGATTAAATAGATTCATATGTGTAAAGTACTTAGTACTTTATGTGGCACTAATTTTTATACAGCACTTACTATTACAGTATTATTATTGTTCTCTAACTGACCATCTGTCAGTAATTTAACCTGGTCCTTCTTCTGTGTCTCTCTCTAAGAAGCATGTAATCTGCTGGGCTCTTGATCCCATCTACACATACATTTTCCTTCCAGGTCACCATCTCCTCTGCCCTCTGTATTTCAAATCGTCCTTTCTCAACTAGGCCACCCCGTCCACCTATAGCAGCAGTTCCCTGCCCTAACTGCACATTAAGTCAGCTGGAGAACTTTTTAAAAACACTTATATCTGGGTCCCATCCTGTCATGGATTGAATTGTATCCCCCAAAAATACCTGTCAGCTTGGCTGGGTCATGATTCCCAGTATCATATGATTGTGTAACATTTTGTAAATCTGGTATGATTTCTTTATGTGTTGCAAAGTCTATCACTATGATGAGGTTATATGTGATTTCCTTACGTGTTGTAAACTCTTATCATTATGATGAGGTTATACTGATGAGGTTTACAAGATGAAATAGTGTCTTAATCCAATCTCTTTTGAGATATAAAAGAGAGAAGCAAGCAGAGACATGTGGGAACCTCATACCACCAAGAAAGCAGTGCTGGGAGCAGAGCGCTTCCTTTGGACCTGAGGTTCCTATGCAGAGATGCTCCCAGACCAAAGGAAGATTGATGACACGGACCATTCTCCAGAGCTGACGGCCCCTGGAGCTGATGCCCTGAATTTGGACTTGTAGTCTACTGGACTATGAGAGAATAAACTTCTCTTTGTTACAGCCATCCACTTGTGGTATTTCTGTTAGAGCAGTACTAGATGACTAAGACACATCCTAAACAGAATTGGGGGTGAGGGAAGAGGTAGAAACTGGACATCAGTATTTTTAGAAGCTCCCCAGGTGACTTGAATGTGCACCCAGTATTAAGAACCATGAACCACACAGAGATGTTGGCATGCCCACGAGTCTAGACTAGGCAGTCAATAATACATCATCCACATATTCTAAAACACAAAGAGATTTCCATCACTTTCCCCTGAGAATCTCTTAACCGTAAAACCCCTTAAGCTACCAGCCCCTCTCACCTTGCTTCCATCAAGCTCTAGAGCTGCTGTCTCTGCTTCCTCAGGTTCTAGCCACTGCTCCGCTCACTGTAAACTGCCCCCCTCCTCTTCCTCTCACTTCCACCCCACTGGACTTGCTCTTTCCAAGATGAACAACCCAGGGACTAAATCAGGTCTCCTGCCTCCTGGCGGCTCCACAGTCTGACACCGTCTGCCCACCTCTCCTGAAATCTCACTCCTCTTTTGGGCACAATCTCCTGGTTCCTCTGCCATCTCCCTGGCTGCCATTCTGTCTCCTCACTGCTCCTGACTCCTAAATGTTGATGCTCCCAAGGCTTTGTCCTGGGTTCTCTTCTCAACTCTTTCTGTTCCTTCTCATTCCTACACATATGGACATCATGTGATCGATATGTGGACAATCCCCAAGTCCACACTTTCTCTAGTTCTGAGCTCTACCAAGTTTCAGAGCCCTAACCCAACATTCCTGCTAATAAGGTCATCAAAGACCATCAACGACATAGGAAAAAAATAAGTCTGTTTAAAATGAAACATATCAATTTTCTCCCACAACCAATTCCCTCATTACTTTTCTATCTCAATTAGTGATACCACTATTCCCCAAGGCAGCAGGGCTTGTCAGTCAGTGTCCACCTTTATTCTTTCTCCTTTCTCATCACAAATATCCATTCAGCTTCTAATTTCTACAGACGCTAACTCTAAAATCGTTCTCATTCCTATCCCTCCCAGGTTATCCCACTATCACCCGTTGGCCAAGGGCTCTTCACACCACCCTTTCCCAGGAGACTACTGCAATAGTCTCCTATGGCCTGTCTCCTCCAGTTTCTAACTCACCTTGCATCTGAATTTCAAAAAAATTTACCTAAAGCTCAGGTCATCATGTTATTTACTTGCTCACAAATCCTGCAAGAACACACCACTTTGAAAAACTATTAGATATTATTTACTAACGTTGTCTCATATGCATACCCTATGACCCAGCAATTCTGCTGTTAGATACAGCCCAATAGAAATGTATACATATGTTCACCAAAGACAAGCCCAAGAACGGTCACAGCAGCACTAGTCGTAACTAAAAATGAAACAACTCAAATGTCAACCACAGTAGGAAAGATAATTAAACTGGAGAATACTCATACAATGGAATATTCTGCAGCAAAGGTCAGTAAACTTCTAGAAAGGGACAGACAGCAAATTCTTAGGCTTTGAGGGTCATTTGGTCTCTGTTGCAACTACTCAACTTTGCCACTGTAGCATAAAAGCAGTCATGGTTCGGAAAAGGAGGGTGAGAATGGTTGCACAACTTGAAGAATGTAATCAATGTCACTGAATTGTAAGTGTAGAAATTGCTGAATCGGCATATGTTCTGCTGTGTGTAGTCTCAACAACAAAATAAATAAATAAGATTATAAATAAAAGCAGCCACGGGCAATACATGAACAAATGAGTGTGGCTCTGTTCCAATAAAGCTTTATTTACAATAACAGGCAGTGGGCTGGATTTAGCTCATGGGCTATAACTTGCCAACCTCTGCTATAGAGCCTGAAAAAAGAACAAACTGCAACTAAACTCAACAACCAGGAAAGAATTTCACAAACATAATGGTGGGCAAAAGAAGCTGAATTGTTCCATTTATACAAAAGTCAAAAATAGGCAAAATTAATCTATGGTGTTAGAGTTAGAATAGTAGTTATCCTTGTGTAGGGAAGTGGGGGACAATTAAGAGACGGGAAGGAGGCACAAGAGGGCTCTGGGGTTCTGGTAATGTTCTGTGTCTTGATCTGGATGCTGATAACACTGTGTATTCACTTATGAAAATTTATCAAGCTGTACAAGTATGATTTATGCACTTTCCTACAAGTATTTTACACTTTCATTAAAAAATTGTATTTGAAAAAGATGGTTAAAATGGCAAATTTTTTGTTATACATATTTTACCACAATAAAATTTAAAATTAAGAAAAAAAGAAAAGAAAAGAAAAACCTGCAACGATTCTCATCCTGTTCACTTACCAGTAGCTCTGAACACTTCTCCACCCCAATATCTCTAACCACAATGTTCACTGGACTGGAACGTCTTCCCAGCCAGCTCCTACTGATCATTCCAGGCCTATTTCAAATGCCATTTCCTTTACGAGGCCTTTCCATACCGTTCTTTCAACCTCTGCCTCCACCAAATCTGATTTTTCCTGGTAAGAGAGGTTTCTTCCACAGCACTGAGTAATTCACTAAGAGTCAATTATTATTTACAACTCTAGCAGTATTCCTTTGATCCCACCTCTTCAACTGTAATTATTTAAGAACAGAAACTATGTCTTACACATCTCTCAGCGGGTCCCCATGGATCCTTTCAGAAAATTGCTATTCAATTATTATTTCGGAACGATAATAAATTAAGGACAACTGTTACTTTGGTATTATCAAAGAAATTAAAAGCCTCCAAAGTTTAATAAAAAAATCTAGTTGGGATGAATTAATTCCTCATTGAAAAAAGACCTTAAAAATGCAAGTCATACACAATGGAATACTACGCAAAGATACAGAACAACGATGAATCTGTGAAACATAACATGGATGAATCTGGAAGGCATTATGCTGAGTGAAATAGTCAGTCACAAAAGGACAAATATTGTATGAGACCACTATTATAAGAACTCAAGAAAAGGTTTAAACACAAAACAAAACATTCTTTGATTTTTTACGAGGGTGGGGAAGGAGGGAGAGGGGAATGCAGTAAGTAAATAGTAGACAAGAATTATCTTAGGTGATGGGAAGGACAACACACACTACAGGGGAAGTCAGCACAACTGGACTAAACCAAAAGCTAAGAAGGTTCCTGAACAGAACCAAACACTTCAAGGAACAGTGTAGCAGGGGCAGGGATCTGGGGACCATGGTTTCAGCTGACATCTAGGTCAACTGGCATACAAAGTTTATTAAGAAAATGTTCTGCATCCCACTTTAGTGAGCAGCGTCTGGGGTCTTAAAAGATAGCGAGCGGCCATCTAAGATGCATCAAATGGTCCCAGCCCGCCTGGAGCAAATGAAAATGAAGAACACCAAAGATACAAGGAAAATACTATCCCAAGAGACAAAAGGGGCCACATAAACCAGAAACTCCATCAGCCTGAGATCAGAAGAACTAGATGGTGCCTGACTACTACCAATGACCACCCTGACACAGAACACAACAGAGAGTCCCTGACGGAGCAGGAGAAAGGTAGGGTGCAGAACTCAAATTCTAGTAAAAAGACCAGGCTTGATGGTCTGACTGAGACTAGAGGGACCCCAGAAGACATGGCCCCCGGACTCTCTATTAGCCCAAAACTAAAACCATTCCCGAAGTCAACTCTTCAGACAAAGATTAGACTGGATATAAGATATAAAATGATACTCATGAGGAGTGTGCTTCTTAGTTCAAGTAGATACACGAAACTAAATGGGCAGCTCCTGCCCAGAGATGAGATGAGAAGGCAGAGAGGGACAGGAGCGGTCGAATGGACACGGGAAATCCAGGGTGGAAAGGAGGAGTGTGCTGTCACATTACGGGGATCGCAACTAGGGTCACAAAATAATGTGTGTATAAATTTTTGTATGAGAAACTAACTTGAGCTGTAAACTTTCACCTAAAGCACAATTTTAGAAAAAAAAATGCAAGTGATAATAAAGAGAGTTCTCAAAGTTACAAAATCCTTCCAACCAAATCTAAGTGTAAAGACGCAAATAAAATATATACTCACTTGTGGGATCTGTGTGCTTTTTCCACATCCCGTTTCTCCAACAATCACCACCGTCTGACAGTTTTCTATCAAGTATAATATATGATTCCTAAGCTGAAAAAGAAAATTAAATAACCATATATTGTCTCAAAAGACCTAAACAAAGATATGTACACACTGTGAAACGAGCTGTTTGCCAAAGGAAAGTAAACTTTAAAAAGGACTATCAAAGCGTGTTTCCAACTCTCAGGTACCGTTGATGTCAGTGTAATATCTATCAAAATATATAATACACATACTCTTTGATTCAAGATTTTCATTTGTAAGAAGTTATGCTACAAACACTAACACACGTACACAAAGATGTACATACAAGCATATTCATTGTGGCACGGTTTACAATGGCAAATGGGTGAAACAGCCTAAATGTTCATCAACAGGGGATTGGTTAAATCAATTATGAAAGATAACTTATCAGTCTCCCCGGCCTTTTTTCTGCAGAGCTGCTGGGTGAGTTCGCACTGCCAACCGTTAGGTTAGCGGCCAATCACAATCCGCTTGTGCCACCGAAGGACCTTTCTTATCATTTTAAACTCTTATTTCCTTTTTAAAATCTGTTATCATTTCATTTATTTTATCTTATAAGTACAGTTGGAGGATGAAGAACAGTCAAGAAAAGGCCAAAATTTACTCAGCAAACAATAATTACCCAAGCTTGAGAGTTTATTACATGTCGGGTATCTTGCTAAAAGCTCTATATGGATTATCTCATTGGTCTTCATAACAATCCTAAGAGGCAGCTACTACCATTTGCCCTATTCTATAGATAAGGAAGCTGAAGCGCAGAGTGGTAAAGCAAGGTCACACAGCATGCAAGTGGTGGAGCTTGGCCGTGAACCCAGAAGTCTAGCTCCAGAGTCCAGACACCTCATTGTGGCTCAGACTGCACCCTTCAGTGGTGAGGAAACAACAGGAAACATATAATCTTATTTCTGGAGGACCAAACCAGCAACATTCGCACATAATGGATGAGATTAGTCATTTGAGGAAGAAACCCAGAGACTGTCAGTACGTGAGTGACCGAAATGTCTGGGTCAAGGTGATCTGGTTAAATTAAGAAGGCTGCTGTTTCATATCTGTTTGGAAAAAGAACGTATCTATTAATATTAAGAAGGATTATCAGGACAGTCCAGGCAAAGGGACTTCCTAAGTGTAAGAAGTTGGCAGCTTTCAAACCCTATGCCATCTGAGAGAGAGAGAGAGACTCGGGTATTTGTGGCCACATCTACTAGGGTCACTCCAGAGGCATCCACAGAGGCAGGGAAGTTCATCACCCTTCATTAGGGGCTGTACAAAATAAATATCTTCCAGGGATAGCTAAACCACTTTTCACTCTGAGCATGTTTCCTGATTACAATTTGGCTTCCCAGGTGAATGAACTTGCCAACAGGGAGAAAGTGTATCAATCAATGAACACAGCAAGTGTGTACTAGAGAAGTATTGCTCACTGTACACTTGGGTTTACACTTGGGTCTCCTGTGAGTTGAACATACATTCATTACCCAAGGACTCAGAAATCGCATGTCTGGATGTGCATGTGTAGTAACCACACCAAAATCCTGCCACCGCCTGAGCAAGAGGCAGAGGTAAACTCATCTCTTCAACTAAAACAACCTCCTATTCACAATTAATCTTGTTTAAAGATCTATGCCTCTAAGAAAGATAAAATGGTCATACGTTGGTAATTTGTTGAAGATGACTGCATAAAAGTTCACTGAGCTACTTCTCTACTTTTGCTGAATATCTGAAATTGTCCAGAACTGAAAGCAATGAGGGGGAAGAAGAATGTCGTTCCTATTTTTTCCACTTTTTCAAAAAGATCTAACTGGTCAAGAATAAGTGTATCTCTGAGCTCACTGTGTTCTAAAACAATCATTAAGAGTTAAGAGAGCATTACCCATTGGATGCCAAGAGTTGTTGCAGACACGATTCAGGCCCACGGACTGAACATGTTTATCCAACATACCTTGAAAACCGGCAGCTTCTGCCTCTGTTGCTCTATAGAAAGGGCAGCGTAAGCATTGTAAACAACAGTTGTCACAGAGTTTTCCGCTAGACTTTGTCTCTCTTCAGAGATGCTGACACCTGGCCCCTCCGTACCTGTAGCAGAAATGTTATTTCAGATTCTCTGATGTAGTGAACAGAAAAATGTGCAGAAGTTACAAATTTTCAAATACACCATGGGGGCAAAGCATTTCATCTCCAACTACTAGAAGGTATTACACCTTAACTTCAGGGAAGCATCTAGAAAAGTATCAGAATACCAAAAATCTTCCATAAAAGCTTCACTAGTATCAAGAACAAAGGAGACGGCAGTCCCACTGGACTCCAGATTGGCCACTCACACCTGTATTGTTGTTGTTGGGCACTATTGAGTCAGTTTTCGACTCATAGCGACCCCATGTGACAGAGTAGAACTGCCCCATAGGATTTTCTAGGCTGTAGTCTTTTACAGGAGCAAATCATCAGATCTTTCTCCTGAGGAGCTGATGGGTGGGTTCATCGACGAGTCGAGCACTTAACCATTGGGCTACCAGGGCTCTTTACATTACAGAGTACGGTGATTTTAGTACTGGCGTCTATGTTGATAGTATTACTGAACTCTTAGTAGAAATGACAGAAACCTCATGGGAATTAACTAAGGCAAAAGGGTGAATCCTGTTACTGTATGGCAGCAGCAAGGCTCAGGAACAACAAGAACCAGGGATTCAAAGGCTGCCAGAACTTTCTCTGTCTCTCATCTTTGCACCTCTTGACAAGTTCCCTTCAGTCCCTTGTGTTGGCTTTTTCAGTGGGAGCTAGAAACAGAGCTGCTGGTAGTGCCAGACCTCAAGCTCACAACTCCTCCACCAATCATTCACTCACTCACCCAACAAGTACTGACTGGAGCCTACTCTGGGCCAGGCACTGCTCTAAGTGCTGGAGATACAGTGAGCAATGCAGACCCTGGCCCTACCTTCATGGAGCTCACTTGCTTGTTTCATTCTTCCTCCCAGTATAATGTAATTTAGTGCATGAAGTGGTAACAAGTGTTATGGAGAAAAATAAAGACAGGTAAGAGAGGCCAGGAGCTCTGTGTGTATGTTGTGTGTGTGTTCGGGGAGGAGGCTCTTTTATAGGATGATCAAGGACTGACTTTCCCCACAGCTTAGGTTCCAATATCCACAACAATTCAATCAGCCATGGCCAGTGGTGTGGGATGCTGTGAATGGCAGCCCCCATTTGAACCACAGTTGGAGCAGCTGGACAGGAAGTGCTGTTCCCAGAAACCACTATGGTGAGCAGATTAACAACATATATCCACCATAGCTCTTTGTGAGGAAAATGACAAACTGGTACTCAGGATGACGAAGAATCAGGAAGCCAATATCCCATCATGAAAAACTATTACAGATACCATGGATTTTTAGCCTGAAAAGGAAAAAGCCTTAGAAGAAGCATGGGTTCTATTTTACAGTTTCCCTCACTTTTTCAGGCCAATTTGTGTGTGTGTAGCCCTAAGACAGAGCTAGGAGTGATAAGTAAATGACACAGCGTTCAGAATTCAACTCAACTCAACATAAAGAAGATATTTCTAAAAGTTAGAGCCACTTAGCACTGCCTTATACGTTAATAAGAACCCTCCCTAGAAGTTCAAATATGTACTGCACACCTCTTATCGGTGGTGCTTGTGTCATTATACCATGGACTGCCAGAAAAATGAACAAATCTGTGTTGGAAAAAGTACAGCCAGAATGCTCCTTAGAAGCAAGGATGGTGAGTCTCCATCTCACATACTTTGGACATGGTATCAGGAGGTTCTAGTCCCTGAAGAAGGACTTTATGCTTGGTCAGCTAGAGGGTCATCAAAAAAGAGGAAGACCCTCAACAAGATGGATGGACACAGTGGCTGCCAGAATGGGCTCAAATATAGCAACAACTGTGAGGATGGCACAGGACCGGGCAGTGTTTCGTTCTGTTGTGCACAGGGTCGCTATGAGTCAGAACAGACTTAACAGCACCTAAAACAACAATGACCTCCCAGGACTTCTTAACTCAGATTCTGTGGTGCTATGAGAAAGTACAGGGGCTTTCTGATAGGAATATTTAGCCCCGTGATTCTTTTATTAACATTTTTAGAATCCCAGACCCCTTCACCAATCTGATAAAGGCTATGAACTCTCTTCCTGAAAAATATACCAGAATATAAAATACTGGGAAGATAGTCTCCCTGAAGATAAGTTTAGAATCCCTGCCTTAGATGTCTGACCCCCTTTCCATTTATTTCCAGGAACACAGTTGTGTTCCAGAAGTCCAGGATTGCCAAAAATCAGGTAAGTGGGCACCGCTGTACTGCTTTTGCCAAAATGCTGACCTTCTTTTCAACAAGATAAAAGACAAAACAAGACCTGGAAAGCCTGTGCTCAAAGAAGCCCATTTCCTTTCCTTTGTGCCCCTTATTATTGCTACATCTTAATAACTCTGTAATCTTTACCTGAGATACTATGGCAAAGAGTATCTTATTCTCATCTGCTGTATTGTTGTCCTGATTTCCCATGGCTTTTCCATCATGTCTGGGATATTTTACACTGCTCCTCCAAGGCGTCTACTTCCTCCCACACCAGGGTTGAATTCACTACCCCATTTCTCCCTTGTCTCTAACCTACAGCCACATCCATCTCACTGGATTCTGTTATGAGATCTTTTACAAGAACCGCTGCCGTCAATCAGATCAATACAGAAGCCGTCTCCTCCTTATAAAAGACTTCACTCAGCCAAACCACCTCTCCCTCCGTATACACCCACTGCTCACTCTGGCTGCTTACAGTTGTTATTCCCCAGGAGCATACCTTGTGCTTCAGGGAATAACAATTTTGTAATTTCTGCAAGCCACGACCACCGTCGTTTCTCCACCTATTAAACAAGGCTAATAACAGCACCCCAATCCAGCATGCCCTCTGAGTCAATTTTTCAAAAATTTGAGTGGGAATCTATTAGTGGGTTGTGAAATTCACGTAGTGGGTCATGACCAGCATTTTTTAACAATGAACTAGAAAGTATCAGAGTGCATTCTAGAAAGCAATATTGGTTTTGTACACCTTGTTTTCAGTTGTGTGTGTGTGCTGGATAACAACACAATATCTTTCTTAGTGTGGGTCAGGTCAAAAATACTTCAAAGCTATTGCTATAAAGTATTTGCCAGGCACATGGTCATCAGTCAATATACATTTTTTGAACGATTGAATGAAAATGGCCAGGCCCTTCCAATACACTTATACTAACAAATTAAGTAAAAGTTTTTCCTGGAAAAATCTCAGGCAACTCATAAAAGGCTCTTATGTCACAGTCCTAAAGTAGAGGACACAAGTTAGTGGCTCAAGGTTCCCAGATACACTATTGTTAAAATGTTTAAGTTAGTTCATTTAAAACAACACATAAAATTTCTCATCCAAATCTAGATATTAGGTTTAAAAAAAAAAAAATCCAGCAACAATGGGTCTATGAGAACAATTACACGGAACTCAGTACAGCTTTGATAGCATATGCACACTCCAGTGTATATCTACACTGTACATATCTATCCATTGTATGTACTCTAATTTGCTACAGTCCCCACCACTCCCTATTACCGCCACCCATAGCTTCACTCATTTAGACTGTCTGAAAGGCCCCTGTATTAATCTGAGTCTGTGACTCTTGGCCTATGGGATATGCTCATGATTCCAACATCCAGCCTTATCTTCAGCTCAACCACATCCCTGACCTTCACCCTGCAACTCCCACATCCTATTGTGTATCTTGAACTTCAGTTTCCTCATCTGTAAAATGAAAGTAATACCTCTATCACTGGGATAATGTGACCGTTTAATAAGATGATGTACGTGAAAGTGACTAGTACAAAGTAATGGCCCAATAAGTGTATACTGAATCTACTCCCATCACAGTTTATTTGGACCATGATTCCCAAACTTCAGTGCATGCTGGAATCACCCAGGAATTTTTAAAAAACACTGATGCCTGGCTCCCAGTCTCCAGACTTAATTGGTATGGGGTGGGAATGGACATCAGGGTTTTTGATAGCTTCCCAGGTGATTTATCTATACAGAGAAATCTAAGAACCACTTACCTCAACAGTCATCTAACCCAGAATCTCTGTCACTCCTAACTTCACCTTCTCCCACATCTGCCTCCAAAATGTCTCTCCAATAGGCCCCCTCCTCGCTGTTTCCAGAGCCCTGGTGGTACTGTGGTTAAGAGCTCGGCCGCTAAACAAAAGGTCAGCAGTTAGAATCCACCAGCCACTACTCGGAAACCTTATGGGGCAGTTCTACTCTGTCCTATAGGATTGCTAGGAGTTGGAATCGACTTGAGGACAATGGGTTTTTATAGGTTTTTTCCTGCTCCCAGGCAAAAACTGATGCTTTTAATATCTCCTCAATTTTAGTAGTATTCTGTCTTAAAGGCTCTTTTAACTTCTTCCCCAACCCTTTCTCCACACCACTGCCAGAGTTACCTTTCTAAAATAAACCTGATTGTGTCATTCCCCTGCTTAAAAACAATGAAGTCCAAACCCCTTAACTTGCCACGGAGACCTTTCACAACTGGGCCCCTACCTACTTTTCTAGCTTCATTCCTGACATGCCCTAAAATATACCCTATCACCTAACATCATCAGACTACTCAATTATTTGGGTTTTTTGGGACATTTTCAGGCACTCATCCCATTTCCATGGATAAGTTCATGCTGCACTCTTTGACTAGAACTCCATTCCCCCACCTCCCCACCTAACAAAGTCTTATCCATGCTTCAACGTTCACCTCAAAAATATCACTTTTATGAAGTAATTCTTACCCATACTCAATCTTTCCTTCCCTCTTCTATGCGTCCATATAATCATAATAGCTAACACGTATCTAATGCTAAGAGCCTCATATGTATTGTTATTGTTGTTAGCTGCTGTTGAGACACCCCCCAACTCACAGTGACCCCATGTACAATGGAATTATACCACTGTGAACCATTGGCTGATTTTTTAGGTCGCCAGGTCTTTCTTCCTAGACTACTTAGTCTGGAAATTCCACCAATACCTGTTCAGCATCATAGCAACATGCAAGCCTCCACTGACAGATGGGTGGTGGCTGTGCTTGAGGTACACTGGCCAGGAATCGAACCCAGGTCTCCCGTATGGAAGGTAAGAATTCTACCGCTAAACCACTACCGCTCCCTCACATGTATTAAACCCAAAAACCAAACCCACTGCCATCGAATCAATTTCTTCTAACAATCCTTTTGGTAGGTATTACACCCAACGTACAAGTGGGGTTACAGGCTTTGAGCACTTAAGTGACTTTGCCGAGGTCACCAAGCTGTAAGTGGTAGTCAGGATGGGCACCTAGAGTTTATCTTCCTTACCATTCATTACCTTATTCTACCTCACTTTAAACTCTCTCCTAACACACATCCAACTTTGTATTACAGCTGAGAGAGCATCTTGCAAGCAGAGCCGCATCCTCTATATCTGCTTCATGACCCAAGGGTTAGGTATTCAATAAGCACCCCTCAATGAATGAATTAATGAATGGAATACAACTCTTCCAATCATCTCATAGTCTTTAACCAAAACAGCACTCTGGTCAGATTTTTAACTATTTATTCAGTCCTTTACTATACTTAACTTTAACCTATTATTATCATACCCTTAAAAGTAGTTTCTCATTACTTAATGGGATCTTAGTTTTAGCTGCAAATAAAATTCAGGATAGGTAATTGTTGATGCCTTGAAATGCTGAATCATAAAACTGTCGTTAAGTGAAAACCTACAGATTTTTAAAAAGGATTAAGCACATCCCTTGCTTGGGTTTATCTCCCATATCACATATACACATGGTCAGAACTTCAGGGAACCACTCTGAAATACCCTTTAAAAGCCTTCCATACATTATCTGCTTTGTATCATTTCATTTTTGCTGAAATATACTTTGCACATCAAGGGGTGCAGAGAAGCAGGTGGTGAAAAAAACATGCTGGTAATTGTTAAGAAACTTTTGTTTTTCACAAGAAACTGATGGAAGGGGAGGAAATAATGCATCTAGCAGGGTTTGGCATGTACATCTTCGATACAAATCTGACTAATGAATAAATGCCAAAACAAGCAACATGGTTTGTGACTGACATTTGTGTTAGCCCGCAGGAGAGGAAGTCGGTAGCAGTCAATATTAAGGAGGGTCTTTCTGGAGGAGCACTGGTGGTACAGTGATTAAGCGCTTGGCTGCTATCCAAAAGGTCAGCGGTGGCTCTTGGGGAGAAAGACGTGGCAGTCTGCTTCTGAAAAGATTCACAGCCTTGGAAACCCTATGGGGCAGTTCTACTGCCCTATAGGGTCGCTATGAGTCGGACTCCACTGCAACGGGTTTGGTTTTTGTTTTTTTCACTTTCTGATAGATACTCGGCGTGAGGAGGGTAAGACTCAGAGGAGTTAAGTGACTTGTCCAAGATCACTCTGCTACTACACGGCAAAGCCGAAAACTCGAACCCACGCAGTCTGACTCCATAGCTTGAGCTCCTAAGCCCTGAGTAGCACCGCCTGCCGGGCCGCAACGTAGCCCCAGGGCGGTAAGAGGGCACGCGCGGGCGCTTTAGCATGCACAAAGCTAAACCCCATCTCGCGAGGTGGGCAGGACTGCCATCAATAATGAGGAAAACGACGGCCGGGGAAGCTAAGAGACTCGAACAAGGTCACTCAGAGAGTTTCTGCCCAGGCTGGGAGTGGAGCCCCGAATCCCTCGGGACCACTGACGAGCCTAAACCGCAGGGAGAGTCCACCAGCAGAGCAGCGGCGGTGCCCAGTCCACCGGGGTCAGGCTTGCAGGCAGCTGCGCAGGCCCCAGGGCGCCGGCCGCAGGGCCAAGACCAAAGTCAGGCTGCTGCACTTGCCCAGGTTCCGCCAAAGGCCTTACCGGGTCGCCAGAACTTCACTGGTCCCACGGGCGCAGCCATGCTGGGGTGAAGGGTCACGAGGAAGGCTCCACCCCTCCGTCGCGCTCTAGCCCCCAGGGGGCCGGGGGGCGTGGCCCTCGAGGAGCCTCCGCTCAGGCGGCCCCGGTGGTGTTGCGGCCGCGCCCCCCGTGGCTACCGCCCCTCTAAGCCACGTGACCAGGAACCAGCTGGGGGCAGTTCTAGCCCCGCCCCCTTCAATCCTCGGTAAGCGACAGAATGAGTATATAGGCTGCTGCCACCCCACCCCACCCCCAGCCTCGCCTCCTTCCATGTGACCCATGGCACGTCGCCGGCAGGCGTTACGGCCCCGCGCCCGGGTCCACGTGTCTCAGTCCGCCATGTTGGAGGCGGAAGCGCGCTCCTCCGGGTTCTTCTTTAGACTGGTTGATCTCGATTCTCAGTGGCTTTATTAGGTGCATTGCGTGAACTGAATGGCGCCGTTTCCCGGATTGACTACAGAATTATGATTATGCTACAGACTGTCCGCTTGCCACTTCTTTTAGTCTTTTCTTCAAATTGGAAGATAATAATCCTAACTATCTCGTGGGTTTGCTCGTTCAGTAAATGTTGGGAGCGCACTGTGCGCCCAGGTGCTGTGGCTTCAGCTTTTTCCCTCTGAGAGCTTCAGTCCAAGGAGGAGCGAGTAAACAGTAAATGTGTAAATGATGGATAGCAGGAGTTCAAACCGGTTCCTTCCTGCTGAGAATTTACTTTTATTTTTTATTTGTGTATTTTAATTGTGCTTTAGGTAAAAGTTTACAGAGCAGATTAGTTTTTCATCCAATAATTTATACATAAATTGTTTTGTGACATTGGTTGCAATCTCTGCAATTTGTCAGCACTCTCCCCCTTTCCACCCCTGGTTCCCCATCAGTTTCCTGTCCCTTCTTATCTTGTCTTTGGGTAGGAGTGGCCTATTTGGTCTTCTATACTTGATTGAACTAAGAAGCACGTTCCTCACGTGTTACCTTTTATAACCAAAAAAACCCACAAACCTGTTGCTTTCCAGTGGATTTGGACTCATACCGACCCTATAGGACAGGATAGAACTGTCCTGTAGAGTTTCGAAGGAGCGCCTGGTGAATTCGAAGTGCCAACCTTTTGGTTAGCAGCTGTAACTCTTAACCAGGAGGCCACCAAAGTTTCTGTTTGTTTTATAGGCTTGTCTAATCTTTGGCTGAAAACTGGGCTTTGGGTGTGGCTTCAGTTCTGAGTTATCCGGGTGTCTGGGGGCCATAGTCTTCAGGGGTTCCTCCAGTCTCTGTCGGACCGGTAAGTCTGGTCTTTTTTGGGGTGAATTTGAATTTTGTTCTACATTTTTCTCCTGCTCTGTCCGGGGACTCTCTATTGTGATCCCTGTCAGGGCAGTCAGTGGTGGTAGCCGGGCACCATCTAGTCCTCCGCTGAGACTGGTGGAGGTTGTGGTTCATGTGGTCCATTAGCCCTTTGGCCACGTTTTCCTTGTGTCTTTGATTTTCTTCATTCTCCGTTGTTCCAGACGGGATGGGACCAATAGATGTAGCTTAGAAGGCCGCTAGCAAGCTTTTAAGACCCCAGACACTAAACACCAAAGTAGGATGTAGAACAATTAAGCAAATAAATGAAGATATGAACTAGTTATTCTGTCCTAGAGGGTAGCTATGAGTTGGAATCAACTCGACAGCAACTGATTTGGTTTTAGGGTTTTATGCCAATTGACCTAAATGTCTCCCGAGACCACAGACCCCAGCCCTGAGCCCCAGCAACTTGGCCCCTCAAGGTGTTTGGATGTGTCTAGAAAGCTTCTAAGGCTTTGCCTTGGTCAAATTGTGCTGACTTCACCAAAGTTGACACTTGTCTACTATCTAGTTAGTGATTTCCCTTCCTTCGTAACCATCAAAGTTTGTTTCTTTCTGTGTGTAAACCTTGAGTTTTTACAATAGTGGTCTCATACAATATTTGTCCTTTTGTGATTGACTTATTTCACTCAGCATAATGCCGTCCAGATTCATCCATGTTACGAGGTGTTTTGTGGATTCATCATTGTTCTTTATTGTTTCATAGTATCCCATTGTGTGTAGGTACCATAGTTTGTTTATCCATTCATCTGTTGTTGGGCACTTAGGTTATTTCCATCTTTTTGCTATTGTGAATAATGCTGCAGTGAGCATGGGTGTGCATATGTCTGTTCGTGTGACAGCTCTTATTTCTCTAGGATATATTCCTGGGAGTGGGACTGCTGAGTCGTATGTTATTTCTATTTCTAGTTTTTTAAGGAGGTGCCATACTGTTTTCCATAGTGGTTGTACCATTTTACATTCCCACCAGCAGTGCGTGAGTTCCAATCTCCCCGAAACCTCTCCAACATTTATTATTTTCTGTTTTTTCAATTAGTGCCAGTATTGTTGGGAGGGTGAGATGGTATCTCATTGTTTTGATTTACATTTCTCTAATGGCTAAGCATTTCCTCATGTGTCCGTTAGCCACCTGAATGCATTTGCATTTCTAACAAATTACCAGGTGATGTTAATACTGTTCGTTAGGGACCAATTCTGAGAACCACTAGTAGAGCAGTCGTTTTAAAAATTTATTATACATAAGAACCACCTGTGGATATTGTTAAACTGTAGATTCTGATTCAGTATATCTGGGATGGATATGCACATTCTCAGCAGGGGTTCAAAACTGAACAAATCCATTTGAAGCCCTGTTCGATAAATAGTAGCGTTTATTATTATCTACGTAAACAAAACAATGTGAAATAGTATGTAAGTCCTCAGGGGCCTTGAAAGTAATGCCGTATTCCAAGTAGACTAGAAATACCATACCACATACCTTTGCTCAGGTGTGGGCACCAGACTTCTCCAGAATCTAAGAGTTACTGACCACACTGGGACGTTATAGATGCTAATCCCAACCCGAAATGATTGTCATGTTCAAGGAAAAGACAGTTCAGCTGAATACAAGACACTGTAAATTGGAGCTGCCCAAAGATGGAAACAGCTCCTAGGACTGGTAATGAGGGCCCTATTTCTGGAAGGACTCAAGTAGAAGTTAAATGACTCATTGGCAGAAGGATTCAAGAATTAAAAATAGGGTGACTTTCCAAAATCTCTACAGTAAATATACCTTACTTTTGTAATCAGGGAAAAAAACATGGCCTAAAAATAAGAATCTTATGGAGAATTAGGTTGTATCATCTTTTAAATCCCTTCCAACTCTATAAATCCTTGTAATCACTTAGATGCCTCTCTTTCAACCAATTGATCTTAAACTTGCCTGATAAGTAATCATATTTAAGCACTTCATATGTGTTATGGATTGAATTGTGTCCCCCACGAAAGTGTGTCAACTTGGCTAGGCTATGATTGCCAGTATCATATGGTTGTCCATTTTGTGATCTGATGTGATAATCCTGTGTGTTGTAAATCTGATCTCTGCCTGTGGTTAATGAGGCCAGATTAGGTTGTGTTAAAGTGCATTAGGGTGGGATGCAGCACTCTTACTCAGGTCACAGCCCTGATCCATGTAAGGGGAGTTTCCGTGGGGTGTGGCCTGCATCACTTTTTATCTTACAAGAGATGAAAGGAGAGAGAAGAGAGAGAGAGGGACCTCACACCACCAGGAAAGAGCACAGGAAGTGGAGCACATTCTTTGGACCCAAAGTCCCAACGCTGAGAAGCTCCTAGGTGAGGGGAGGATTGATGATAAGGACCTTCTCCAGAGCCAACAGAGAGAAAGAAAGCCTTCCCCATACCCTGAATTCAGACCTCTAGCCTCCTAGACTGTGAGAGAATAAATTTTTGTTAAAGCCATCATTTTGTGGTATTTCTATTATAGCAGCACTAAATAACTACAACAGTGTGCAAAGAAAGTCTTTGGTGGATAAAAGGTTGGCTGCAGTCTGACTCAGGTCTGTCCATCAGGGAGCACACTTAATCCTATCAATACTAGGAAAATAAGTGCTGAAATGCTTTGGGAGTCTGCAAAAGGGAGAGTTAGTTTCCAGGTATGGAAATCAGGGGAGGCTTTCTACAACTATTGTTATTTGACCGGAGCGTTTTGGAGAAGTAGGGTAAAAGCATGGGTGGGAGGATCTCCAGGCTGTAGAGAAAGCCAGTAACAGTTCTGTTAGTCAAGGTATGTGAAAGGGTGTGGTAAGAAGTAAATTGCAAAAGTAATTTGGGCCTAGATTCTGGAAGGCCTTGAATTTTAAGATTAAGATTATGGCTTGTAGACCTCTGCTTTAGGATAATCTGTCAGCAGTGGTGGGAAAAAAAAGGGTTGAAAGAAAAGACTAGAAATAGGTGGGTTAGCTAAACCAGTGTTTGCTCCAATTTGACTGATCATGTAAATCAAATGCTTGTTAAAAATATTTATTTCAGGCCTCCAACCTAATCCTGAGTAATAATCTCCAGGGGCATAGCCTAGGAATCTACATTTTTAGAAATTTCCACAGAGGAATCTTATGCTAACAAGCTTGGGAAAGATTCCACTAATCCAAACAGAGCTAATGAGGGCTAATAAACTCAAGTGGAGGAAATATTTATAGGTAGGCAACTAATTGAAAGTAAGAGAGAGGCTTCAGAATCCATGTGTTTTTAGAGCTGTGAAGAAAGCTCTGCCTTGTCTGAGGGAAATGGCATAGTCAAGGAAAGAGCAGGGGCTTTGAAGCCAGGTAGGCATGACTTGGAATCCTAGCTCTGCCATTTTCTAGCTGTCACTCGTCTGTCAGTTTGCCATACTATGGTGATTTGCGTATTGCTGTGATGCTGAAAGCTATGCCACCAGTATTTCAAAATATCAGCAGGGTCACCCATGGTGGACAGAGTTTCCAAACTAAGACTAGGAAGAAGGACCTGATGAACTACTTCTAAGAAAACTGGCCAGTGAAAACCTTACGAATACCAGCGGAACATTGTCTGATATAGTGCCAGAAGATGAACCTCTCAGGTTGGAAGGCACTCAAACAACAATGGGTTCAAACATAGCAACGATTGTGAGGATGGCTCAGGACCAGGCGGTGTTTCCTTTTGTTGTACATAGGGTCGCTATGAGTGAAAACCTACTCGACAGCACCTAACAACAACAACAAGCTGTCACTTGATCTTAGCTGTAAAGTGAGGTATAAAACAAAACCCGTTGCCGCCGAGTCGATTC